TTTCTGGTCTGACACACCTAAGTCTTGGTTTTCCCTTCCAAACTCTGCAACTGCAGTACCATACTCTTTCGCCTCAATAGTCTCACTGTAATTATGTCTCAAGTATCCAACACACGTTCCTGAAGTACTGCTTTTCTACACTGACCTTTCTGATGCTGTCCTCTCCTGTTCTTCACTTAAGCACTCAGAAATGCTGAATTTTTCATTTCTACTTCCAAGATCTCCTTTTGATTTTTCTGGTGATTTCCAACACTGTCAAGATGGTCATAGTTAGAACAGAAGCTGTTTCACACATGCACTCACACAAACTGGTGTTCCACTGAAGAACAAAAATGCTTCACAGTTTTGGAAGAATAAATCTTCAGCTTAACTTTCTAGACAAAGTACTAATGAGAAGGGTTGTGTTTCAAAATTACAAATAAATAGTCTGAAGAGACACAAAATTCTTATGGATTTGATTAACGTGTCTGTGAGGGAAGTGAAAGAGTATTGCATTTAACCTTCTTCGTAACACAAAATTCATTTTTGCAAAGAACTCTGCTATATGGTTTTCAGACCACTATTTGATTTGTCCCCACAATATCGGTGGTGAGAAGCAGCCTTGCACTAAGCTAGCCTAGGGAGAACTTCACTCAAAAGGAGTTCCTTCATTTCTTTAATATGATGAGATTTCACTCAGATAGCCTTAAGAGGAAGAACCAAAGCATCAGAAACGAATGTGTAGATTTCATTCCAGCAGGGCCACTGTGTGAGGAACTCAGCCAATCATCTCTGCCATCGTTAGCAAAAGCTCTTGCTGTCAAAAGCAATCCTGTGTATCTATATTTACCCATCTATGTATGGCAAGAGCAATAAAATATACATCTAGCACTATGCTGTACTTGCCAGCATAAATCCACTAGTCCAGCTGAGGGGTTGAGCTGTCTCTGCAGCAAGAGAGCTTCCTCTTGCTGACCAGTTTACAGGAAACTGCAAGAATGGACTCTAAATAAAAGCAGCACAAGAGCAGCACAGGCGAGGCAGAAAAATTAACAAAGCAACAACAAAAAAATTAAAATAGCATTCAAACTACTGTCCTTCAGCTGTAGCAAGGAGTCAAGTTCCACAGAGAATAACATAAGAGTTCATATACATTTCCATAAAAGCCTACAGTATAGTAAGGCACTAAAGAAGGCCACATCCTGATAAAGTTTTACTGACTTTAATTAGTTTGAATCAGGAGTAGATTATTATGAGTTTTATTGTTTTATTAATCCTACTAAACTAGAGTTTAGTCCCAAGTTTCCAGATCACAGTGGAAACACACCCTCTGTATTGAGAGATGATATATCTGTCAACTGCAGACTGTAAAAGACCAAGTGTAAATTACTTGCCTGAACCCTTCATCTGCTAGGTAAGGCAGGCCTCTGAAACTACGAGTAACCATGCATTAGAATTACTTCTGCTGGGTGACCTGCAGAATGATGATGATGATGATAATAATAGTAATAATAATAATAATCACAGAATCGCTCGGTTGGAAAAGACCTCTGAGATCATCATGTCCAACCGTTCCTATCTACCCACTAAACCATATCCTTAAGTACCTCGTCTAAAGTCAGGAACAAAGGGGAGAAATGAGGCCAGAAAATCCTCTTTCAATGCCAAAAGAATTCCTGTTCCCACTTCAACTATCATTCCCTCATTCAGCTTACTTAGGAAGAGCAGAGAAAGCCTTAATAATATTTTTACTAATTTATTTATTTATAGGTATATTTTTAAAAGTAGCTGAAGCCTCGATAATATATATTCAATCTAAAACTGAGAAACACTTCAGGTCAAAAAGCTTCAGAGTTTCTATTTCTACCCTACTGTTCTTCAGCTCTGAACATCTATGAACATATTGTTGGCTTGGAACTTCAAAAAAGTCAGCCAGCACTGATAAGCCATACTTTAGAGAAAGAGTGGATCAATTTTAAAACAAAGTTGTAACTTTTCTTGGTTGTTTCACAGAACTGGTTGGCACAAGTCCTAGAAGATGATATGCTGACTTTGATTTTGGGATATGATTAATGTCATATATTGCTCAAACATCTGTAGACCAAAGTACAGTCTCAAAGTATTTGCAGTATGTGCATAGCTTGTAAAAAACAACTTAGGCTGCACAGCTGGAAGAGAAGACCCTTTCGCAAACTCTCAATATAAGAACATTATCATTTAATAGATTATTTTATATCAGCTAGCCTTGACCTAAGACTTCATACTGATGTGAATAAAGATTGAATTAAAATCAGTACAGCTATCCTAATATAATTTTATATGCTGGCAATTTCATTATGAGTAGCTTTTCAAGTTAAGTTTAAGGGATTTCTACTGAATCAAAAGGCCTCTCGAAACTGTACAGGAGCGTTCACCCAGCGAGTTAACTGCATGTCAAGTCTATGCCAATCAAACCATAACAGTAACACTTAACGTAAATAACACTTAAAATGGAGTACAAGTTCTTAAACGCTTTTGCTGCTTATCATGTTTCTTTAAAATAAATTCAAAGACACATTACCAAGGCAAGACTTCCATTCTCATTTACTATTCAATCCAGATGGACAGGTTCTTTGTCCCTTTTAGCTGTTACCGATATGCAAGGCCCTTGTAAAAAAGATGCAGCTATGATTATGATTAACTGGTATCTTTCATCAGTGCTTGTAGAAAAACTAGGCCATAGTTTAAAAAATTCACAGAAGTAGAAACGTGATTGCCAAAGTCCTATTCCTGCAGCCAGCTGCAAAGGGAATTTCCCAGATACACGCAGACACTGCAAGTGGGAATTTCCACAACTTATGTATTTCCTTGGCAGAAGTTCTTGATTCTAAGATATTGCAGTTGAAACCACTGTATTGCTAGGCAGGTTTGTGAGGAACTGCACACAATTCTAGCACTAATGTACTCATCACTGATCATTTAGGAAGCACTGTTGGACTACAAAATAATTTCTCCTTACATGTCAAAACACCTTCAAGCATTTAAACTGGCAGACAATTGAGCTTTAGTAAAAGTAACACCTAAATAAAGGCTTTTAGAAATCTCTAAGAGGGAGTCAAATATCTGTTATTGATTATAAAGCATAACTGATAGGTATGGTTAACTAGCAAACTTCCTGACATATAAAGTTACGTCTGGTTTTAGGTATTTTTTTCTATTTTCTTAGAATTTTACTTAAATCAATTTAAAGAAGAGGAAAAAGAAGAAAGGTGAAAAACCCACCTTAGAGACCTACACATACGTTCACCATTTTCTACCATTCCAGGTACTAAAGCATTTTAGCAGGACATCCACCAGTTCCTTGTATGCTGTGCTTGCACAAGACTAAGAACACTGAGGTCCAAGACTACTATTGATGACTAAAAAGAATATTTCATGTGAGAGCATATGCAAGTCAGCAGAAAAATTACTGAATATAAGCAATTT